AAATGAAATGTCTCTCAAGGCAGCTGAATGAGTCTGAGTAGGTTCCAGTGCTCTTGGGCAATGTGAGCACTCAATAACAAGAGAGGAAAAAAAAAAGCCTAATATGATCTGTTGAACTGGAGCATTTTGATGAGAGCTGAGTTCTGAAGGAACCAGGTGTTATTTTGCTCCTGGCAGCAATTGAATCTTCACAGGTTTTTCATGACATCACATCTCTTCCATGTCTTAACCAGTGACTCATCCTGCTTGCCTGTTTGTTCCCATTTCTGTCTGCCAGCAGGAAATGCTAAGCTTAATGCTAACATTCTCTTATTAATGACACATTAAGTCTAGTCTGCCCAAGGTCCCTCTCTCTTGTGGTATGTGGTGGGTGGGTTGTTTTTTCCCCTTTCCCAAGGTGACTTTTGTTTATCTGATTCTTGGTGGCTTCCACTCCAAAATCTACTTTTGCAAAGGAGATGTGTGTGTTTGTGTGTGAATGTAACATCCCCCTATAACCACAGGGCTGGGAAGTGGATTATCCTGTTTTTGGTTGACCAAACCCCAAACAAGGTGCAAAATGCCATAGTGTAAGTGTTATAATGTGACATTTAACAGCAGGGAAGAGGAAGTCTTTCCTTCACTAGGTCTGATAAAGATTGTGGTGGGTGCTGGTGATTGGGGAGGACATAGCCTCTGTTCTGACTCTGAGCAGCCTAAGGAAGGATCATGCCGAGTACATGCAGCTTGTTGATGTTGCCAATAGCTGGACAATAAACAACTCTCATTCTTGCATATTATTCTTCTTTAAAAAAAAAAACCCAAAAAAACATGGAAATCACACTATGATCCTTTTAAAAAATTGAAATGTTTATTTCCTTAGAGACTATTTGTCACATACACTGCTAGAAAAGTCATGGTGCTAACGGGATTAAATTCAGTACAGATTAGATGTTTCAGTGACATTTTATTTGGAACAAAGAATTTGTGGCTGGAAATCTCCACTAGAAGAAGGATGGTTCGGAATCAGGGATTGTGGGTTTTCAGACCTGCAGCAAAGAGCATCTGTCATTATTTAAAAACTCAAATATGTTTTCTGTGTTAGTACCTTGTAGTTTCTGCTGAGACAGCCAAGTAAATTTAAGAAAAGCTTATTGTACTCCTATTGTGAATGTTTGCGTGATGGATCTTGAGACTAGAGGGCATCTGCACACAATGCAAATGCATTTAGGTCTTCTCTGATAAACACTGAATTTTGATTGCTCATTAATGCAAAAACTTCAAATTTTTGTTTCAAGCTACCCACTAATGGTCCTGTGGGTGTTTTTAATTGTTTGCATAAAGCACAGGCACACACGTAAGCTGCAGAAGAACAGAGCTGGTAGCACACTGGGGTAAATAGACCTCCCAGAGACCCTCCTGTGCCTGCTTACAGCCAAGCTCGCTGGTTCCTCCTCAGGGACAGCCTGGCAGGTTTCTGGATGCTGGGGGCTCAGCTCTTCCACCCAGGCGTTTGGCTAGACTGTTAATTAGTGCTACATCACCTTTCTGCTGATCCCTGCTGTGCCTCTTGTACTTGTCTCCTAATGAGTTTGTGGTCTATCTGGAAGTCTTGGAAGCAACTTGGCGGGGTGGGGAGCAATTTCTGTCAGTTGTTTTTTTCTTCATTAGATAAACGACTTGAACTTAAAAACCTGAAATGCTAATTACCTGAGGCTTGTAGTGTTCTAAACTGAGGGAAGGACAACTGTTGTGAATGCTGAAGAAAGTGAGCTCAGATTTTGCAGTTGGATTTGTTTTATTTATGCTGAGGTATTTGTGGGGGGAGGGGGTGTGCATTTGATCTCTCATGGTGTGAGTCAAGAAAATTAAGCCAGTTTATTGCTGTCTAAGAAGCTAATGTAACCTGAGGAAAAAAGTAATTTCAGGGTGATAGTACAACAATTCAGATGCAGTTGGAGAAATGCCACTATGAGGCTGTGAGGGGAGATGACATGCCCTGTACCTGTGCAGTACAACAGAGCAAGGAAGCCGTCAGTGACTCAGGAGGAGATGAATCACATTTCTGTATTGTAGCACATGGCTACCAGGGCAAGGGTATGAACCATCTTTGTATACCATGAGATACAGGATGCATTTCCCTCACACACACTCCCTCTGATAGTCTGAGAAGGCAGGCACACAAAGTATATCCTAGTGAATATGCAACTTACCTTTCTGTGGTTTAAGTGCACTGCCCACATAGGACAGGTTATGACTGAGCAAACCCATGTTATCCCTTGGGGATCTGCACCTCCTGCAGCCCCATCTCTCACTAATGCATAAACTGGGGCCCATCCCCATTCACAGGGGGATCACAGACAAAATACTGAAATCAGCAAATCAGATTTGCTAAATTCCAGAGCTTTTGGGCAATAGCACAATTTGACTTTTTCAGTGCAATTTCTCACTGAGCTGAGGCACTGAGGTGGTATCAGGACAGATTTTGGGAGTCACCCTGTGTGTCCCTTGAGGCTGCTTCCCAGGACAGCCTGGATGTATGTCCCCAGAGCTGAGTCCTTGCTCTGAGCCATTGTCAAATTTAATTTCTTTCCAAATTATTCTGCATGTAACTTGACAATGTGTCTTGCAGTCACTTACTGCCTAGTCACAGCCTCATGCCCTAAGCCAGAGTGGGCACTGCTTAAACACAGAGGAGAAAATAGGAGATGAGATTTGGAAGGCAGATGAACCTCTGAATGCAGGTATCAAACAATAATGCTGTGAGCATGAGATGTGGAGGAATCTGACTTCCTATGGATTTGTTTGGTTTTGTTGCTTGCAGAATCTCTGAAGTTACTAATACTGATTTAGGGCCTTCTCCTCATGAGGAACAAAGAAAGCCTCTCTCATGTGAATCCTTTGGTATTTGGAAAAGATAATCATTGCACTTCAGCTTTTTTCACTGCTAAGATATGCTTAAGGTCTCTTCACCTTACCAACTACTTTTGGTGACATATGTAAAAACATTTGAACACATTTTCCCTCAGCCAAATTTGATCAAGAGTGCCTATGTGGAGACTGATGGTTTAATAAGCCTGATGTCTTTAGGAAATCAGGCTAAAATAAACTATAATCTCTTTGAACAAAAGAACAATACTATTACTGCTGAGACCTTCCTTGCTCGAAGAAATATAGTTAGGATCTAGTTGTCATGGCTGGTTTAGCTGTTCAGCAGCTGAGGGGGGATGTGGTGTCAGTGAACGTGAGAGTGCTCTGTGATGGATTTATCACTGGCAGGAAAAGAAATGTTCACTCAGGCTGCAGGGTGGAGCCCACCTCATTCTGGTATTCCCATCTCTGACCAGAGGGAACAGAACATTTCCTCAGCCAGTGTGCAATGGTTCATCGTGATCAGCCAATGGATTACCCTGCCTTGAAATAAAGAAATGAAAAAATGACATATTTTCCCAGACAGCTGGTGGAGAAAGAGCAAGATTCCTGCTGCACAGCCTCTCCACTGGGAAATCCACAGTATGTTACAGCTGTGGATGGTCTCACAGTAGTGCAATAGCAGAGCCTTTTAAGCAAGCTGTAGGGAGCTTATTTACAAGTGCTGTCCTACAGAGAGGCTCTGTGATGTTCTGGTGCAGAACAACAGGCGGCCACAGACTGGCTGCTGTGTGTTCTGCAAGGGCCAGCACTGTGTCTTGCACGCAGCCAAAACAAAGCTGCATGTATGGGTATGATGGGCAGGATGATTTTAAGGCTGAGTTTCCCCCCCACTGTCTCCTGGAGCTGTGGTGGTGTGCTGTGTCTGATCTCTACTCCTGCAAGAGTGCTCTATGTGGATTTATTTTACTCTTGCAACTAGTTACATGGTTGTTAAGTCCTTTTGGGTCTTTTTCTTCAGAACTTTAATCCCATTTTAAGCCAGTGGCAGCAATACTTTCTTCAGTGTGGGTTTTGGGGGACTGAAGGATGGTTCATTTTAGAACTAACCCATCACAGTAACTATAAGTTGACACCTCATACTGAGCACACAATTTGAAGGCAAAGCCTTTTGGCTCCCTGCGGCTGTTTCACAGAGCTGCCAATTTGCCCAAAGAAGGATGAAATGTGTTCAAAAGGTAGACACCTTCAGAGTGAGAGAGACAATCAGCACATGACTTCTCTCCTTGGTTCAGAAGGCAGGTCTGGAGGGAATGGATTGGGCTGTAGGACTGCTGTTCTGGTGTAGAAATATTCCTCAGTTTAAAAATAAGCTTGCAGAATGTAAAGGAAAAGTGCTACTGGCATTCAACAGATGGTAGTTGACATGTTTTCTAGCTGTCACAAGTCTTTCAAAATTCTTCTGTTGCATATGCCAGAGTTCACCTTTGTGCTGCCCAGCTGAACACAGAATGACAACTGCAGGTGGAGGAACTCTGCAGGAACTCTATGGGTAAACAGAATTAAGATGAACAACAGAACAGGATTAATTGATCTCATATTAATATGTGCATCTCAGATTCTCTGATTGGGATATTCCACATTAAATTCACTTTCTATAATAATGGTGATTGCATCAAATCTTTAATTTTTGTCCCTAACCTGAGCCAAGAAAGGGAGTGACCTGCAGCATCTTCCTTAAGGACATTTCCCTGACCGTGACACTGAATTGCAACATGTAAATGTTTTCTGCCTGGAACAGCCCTGGACTGGTTATTTTGCCTCTGCTTTGAAGTGTCAGTTTTCAGTGAACTCTGCTAACATTTTATTATTGCATTGCAGCTGAGGCAGAGAAGAGCAATTAAAGGGTTGACATCTTTGGTATTTTTTTAATAGTACATGTGTCAAAATGCATTTAACAAATCATGGTTGATGCAAAAGACTAATTAATGCTAAAATGTAAGTAGAGTTCATTTCAGTTGGGAGCAACTGAGAATTTTAAAATGTATAATAATAAAGAGTGGTTGCCTTATTTTAGATACAGGACCTAATTACAGCTTTTTCTTCTGAGAACTGAAGTCTTAAATCCTAAATGTTCCTTTCTGTTGCAGGATACAGCTGGACAAGAAAGATACAGGACCATCACTACAGCCTACTACCGAGGAGCCATGGGCTTTGTCCTCATGTATGATATCACCAGTGAAGACTCCTTCAATGCTGTGCAGGACTGGTAGGAAATACTGAAATACTGTTGTTAATGTTGGGTTTGTTTGGGTTTTGGCCAACTGTCTCCCCACAACTGTTTGTTGAGAACATGAGACATCCCACCCTCCATCACTATCACCTCCATGTTCTTTCCTCTTTACCTAAATAATTTGGTTTATAAATGTTCCTTAGAAAAACAGCTTCATTTAATGAAAAGGTTGTAATTCAAATATTGTAGCATACTATAGCATTTGTTACTTTTAAAAGTTTCAATTTGTTGTGAAGAAATTAATCCTTGAATGCTTTTTTTTTTTTTTGGGTTTATAAGATTTCTGGCTATGCTGCTAAAAATAGAGATTAAGAGTGGTTGTTCAATTCACATCTCAGGCATTTGGAGAAAGGCTTTGTTTCTCCTTAGTAGTGCCCTGTGACTCCACTGAAATGTCTTGCAGTCATTTCTGCTGGTTTCCTGGTGCTCATTACTGCAGATAAGAATGGTCACAGTGCAAAGAAGGGCAGTGCAGTGGTTAATGTGATCTCCTGAGGCAGATTGATTTGCAGTGATCTCAGTGACCCACTGGGAGCATGTGACATCCTGGCTGTGGCACTGGCTCCTAGCATCTGGCTCAGCCTGGCTTTCTGTTGAACACCTATTCTGTATCCCCTAAGCCAGGCTGTAACTCAAAAGCTGGTTTGTTGTTTCAGGTGATTTGTGTTTCCTCCAAAGCTGCCCAGTTTTTGTTCTCTCTGTTCACTACAGCAGTTGGTCATGAAGGTCACATGAAAGATGCAGTCTCCACTTTCACCCCCCATCCCTGGTACCACAACACCCACTGAACTGCAGCCCCATCCTGGGCAGCCCTTCAGCACCTTGTGGTTGGGGAATACATTCTTTTCTTGTTAGAAACACAAATACAAAGGTTTTGCTAAAACCAGTTTCATCCATCAAGTTTTGCTCACCAAGCTCAGATAAAGCTTTTTCTGCAAGTGTCTGCACAGGGATGTTTTCCATAGGAGTGCAGGCATGCGAGCTGGGGCAATATCTTTCACTAAACCATAAATATTTCCAGCTTGTTTCCCTCATGATACAAGATCAGTATGACCACACAGTTCATCTACCTGTCTGTCTGTTGGTTCTGCTCTAATAACTATTACTTACCAGTCTTAAGTTAGCCAAAATTTACCAAATCTCCATTTCTGAGCTGCTACTATTTTGAAGTTTGCACAGGTGACGTTTAACCTGAAGCTTTGTATTGGAAGTAGTCTAAGATCTGTTCCATCAAAGGGCACTGGTGTGAGAATAAGAATGGGGAAAGGTCAGCTCTGTCTGTTTGACTTCATGTCTTCCTTTGCCACAGGAGCTGCAGGAATCTTTGCTAAGAGCACCTTGTCAGCCAAAGGACAGAGGTGAACCATCAGGGCGTTTTTTCCCTGTATGTCAGGAATCTTTCCAACCAGCTTTAAGGTTCTCATCCTAAATGAGGTAGTGGGATGGATAAAAAGGACAATTTCCTTCCTTCCTGAAGCTTGTCCAGTGAAGAGATGAAGACTGCAGCCAAGCCAGCATCTCTGGGCCAGCAGAGTCCTCTAGTGGCTATTGCATCCAGGAGATGGCTTTCCCCCAGTCTGCAAAATTGCTTGCTAAACTTCCAAAGGCACAAAAAATGGAGAGAAAAGCTTTTGGCTGGTGCTGCTCTATTGGTGTCTGCCATTTTCTAGCATAGCAAGTAGGATCCCCCCCCCATTCTGCATGATACAGTTATGGTTAAAACATCTTATTACATTTGATATGATCTTCAGTCAGGAACTGTACTCTGCATAGAAAATGAAGGTGTCTACTGCTTGAGCTCCTTTATCTCCATCTCTGGTTTCATTGGCACATGACTCTTTTAGCAGCCTCCTGATTGGTCTTCACCTATCCAGAAGGGAAAAGAGAATATTCCTCCCAGGCTGCCAAATTATTTCTTCCCTGGGAGACCTTTTACTGCCCTCACTCTTCCTATGGGGGGATGTCCTGAAGAGGATTTTGGTTTGCTTTGTGTCACTCAGAGCTCTCCTAAACCAAGTAAAGGCACTTTCTTTCCTGAGTGAGAGGATCATGGTTGTGTATCAGTATTTAGACAAACTCTCCAAGCAGAATATGAATGCAAACCAGAGTCTTTCCTTCGTTCCCATGAATCACCCCAATTAATGATGATGATCTTAAAACCACTGAGAAAGAGACACTGTTTAAATACATTTGGGAATACCTGGAACATGACTTGTTCTCTTGTTCACTGGAACACATACAACACATTGTATGAAAAACCTTAAAACATTAAGCCTGAGTGATTTTCCTTACTGCAGTATGGTAAGAGTTCAGTCAGGTTATTTTACAAGAAAAAGTATAAATAGGCAAACACAAAAATTTGTTTTAATTTGTATTTAAAAATAAGTAATTATTTCCTTTGAATATGTCTTTCATGTAGGGTGAGAGAAAGGGTTCAATGAGCTTTCATAGCTTTCAGCTCAGTTTCTAGAATTATTTTAGTAGTCTTCTTTGATAGCTATTTTTTGATGTTGCGTTGATGATTTTGTGTGTGGATAAATCAGTTGTTTATACCTTGTTTGAAACTGCAATGGAACTAAAATATACTCAGTACTTGAAACTGTAAAGTAAATACAAAATATTATGGAAGCTGTGCTTTGGACAATCTAGACAATTTCATAGAAGGGAAATAAAAATTGGTAAAATTTAACTTAGATACAAGTGACATCTGGGTTCACAAATCATCAGCATTATTTATCTTTAACCCAAACTGAGTTGTTGATACCTCCATGTAACTGTGAACCTGAGATTATTTTTCTTCTAAGAATGAAACACAAAGTTTGTGCTTTCTTGTTAATTTGGGGAATTCAGCACAAACAAGGCACAGCATTTTATTGTATCACACAAATATGTTCCTCCCAGTGTGTATATTAGGCTGCCCTGATGGTTGTTGAAACAGCTCCATTACACAAACCTTGTTATTATTCATTTATCTTTCCAAAAGCATCTGGAAATTTTCTGCCTTTCATTTTGTATGGACTTCAGGGTTTCTTTTATTTGTTCTTTGTAACTTTTTTGGTTGCTTTTTATTCCTAAGAAGAATAAAGATTGGTGTTCTCTAAGAGGTTTTCCACTAATTTGTACAAAGCAGGAGAAGGAAGTTCTCTGGGAGATCTTTCATGGTGATTGCTTCTTTTTCATTTTCTAAGTAATTCTGAGTAATTCTAAGTAATTAAATAGTTAAGATTTGACAGGGTGTCCCCATATGATGCCAGGGGCTGAAATGAATCCAGAGGCTGAACTGTGAGTCAGAAGAGAAGCCTGCTTTAGTTTGAAATTGAACCAGGGAGACTTTATTTCTCTCTATTGCTTAGGGAAAGAGACTGGAGAGATTTCATCTTCCTGGGTTTGTGGCTGATTTCTGCAGTCACCCCCTTCTCTGATGAGCCTTGAGAAACCCCAGAGTCCCACAAAAATTCATCACAGATCCATATTAGCTCTTACAGGACTTGTCTACACGGAGACACTCAAAAGGGTGAGACTGGAGGAACTAAAATTTGGATTGGAGTGAGTGCCTTTCCAGGAGGACACTAGGGAGAGTCTTTGTTTATTTTTGCATGTTGCACTGTGGGTCAGGGCTTGGGTGAGGTTCCTGTTCTCCAGGGCAGTCCAAGCAGGCAGTCTCTTCAAGGCAAGTTGCACAATGAAATGCCCCCTTTTTCCCAGGTACCTGTGGAGTAACATAGCTGGCTGCTTTCCATGGAAAAAAGGAAGTAAGCAACTCAAACTAATTAAAAATTGTCATTAATAGATCAGAGCTGGAGGCTGCTGCTAATTCAAAAGAAAAGGAATCAAGTGCTTTATTTTTAAGGGAGTTCAAGGAAACTTACATAGAAATAAAATTGGAGTGGACTCCTGGCTCTCCTGGGAAGTGGCAGATTTGCCTGAAGCCGTAGTGTCCTGCCTGGAGTGGTGGTGGGGCAAAGAGTGGGAAGGTGAGTTAGGGAGTGGAGGAGGATGGAGGAGAGGAGTGTATGGCTTCTGGCTTACCCTTGGGGAGGAGGGAGCCTTCAAAGACAGAGCTGACTTGGTGAAGATAAAATAGGTGTGGGTCTGAAAAGATGGATGAAAGTGAATGCTACCGAGCTAATAATGTTCTGCTGCTCGCTCTGGGACACCAAGGATGGAGGGAGAGGACTGGCCCTGGATATACAACAAAAACATTCTGTTTTGTCATGGAAAAACTCTAAAAGGGCTAAATGTAAGGTCAGAGTCCTGGGATCCACAGTGAGCTCCACTCCAGTTTCAGCACATGAGCCACAGAAAGCTTTGGAGGCTCCAAGTTCACCCGAGTGCTCCTGGCCAAGCTCCCATGCACTGCACCCCTGTGCCACTGAAATTAGTGCTGGTCTGTGATTGCAGCTGCTCTTGTCAGCCTTAGGTGTCCTTTAGTCCTGCTGGGTTCTGTAAGCTCACAGAACCTTGCTTTGGTCTTGTGCTTTCCCAATTTGGTAAATTTCTCTTTCTCCTTTGCAGTTGTTTCTATGTGATTTTCAGTCTCCATGAAGTTTTCCTGTTTGAGCAAAGACAACTTGATACTTCCATCTGTTCTTATGGTCTTCCTAAAACTCTACAGCAAAATGTGCTGCAGAAGATGAGAGAATTATTGTTGTTCTATCTTATGTGTAAAGTTTTAAATCCAGCATGAATTGTGCATCTGCTGTATGGCTTTCTTTATGGGAAAATATAATTGTAATTGATTGTTGTTCCTCTGACAGATGAGACCTGAAGGAGAATAAGCTTTACAAAATGCCTTTTTTGTCCCTAATCTTCAAAAATCACTTGATTCAGTTTTTTATCTGGATCTTGTGACCTTGAAAACCTTTGCAAATTCTTAACAAGAAACTTTATTGTCCCACAAAGTTAAGGAGTGCTAAAATAGAGCAGTGCTGTGAATTACAAAGGCTGCATCCTTGCTTTGTGTGTAAGCCTGCTCATTTGCCCTTGAACCAGCACAGCTTGGGGATGTTGATAGTGTCATTAATGGTACTTGTTTTCATATTTAATATAGGATTGTATTTTGGCACAGCTGATGGAATGTAACAATCTCTTTTGACCTCCTGTAGGGCCACACAAATCAAGACTTACTCCTGGGACAATGCACAAGTGATCCTGGTTGGAAACAAATGTGACATGGAGGATGACAGGATTGTTCCTGTGGAGAAGGGGAAACATCTGGCAGATCAGCTGGGTACATGCAAAGCTTTTCTTTCCACCTTTCTTCCTCTGCTTCTTTATACTGCACTCCTTTCAGTTTGTACAGCAGTAATACTTCAAAAATGGTCTCACAACTAAAAAGTGTAATATATTCTAGGTTCATATTTCACTTGTTTTCGGCTCAGTAAGCCAAGAATACCTGGTAGACTACTTGTAGTGTTGCTGTGTTTATAAAGGTGGTGTCTAGAGGTGGAAGGAAAATAAAGTTTATCTGAAGAAAAAAGCTTTTATTAGCTTACAGAATGAAAAAAGTTTTCATAAACATAATTTTGTCTCCAGGTCTCTTAAGTACCATGTGCTCGTTGCAAATCAATGCAAACATTGATTTTTGTTGAAGCTTTTTTTTAACTAAACAATGAAAAAGAAAGAAGTTTATACATCACAACTGAAGAATTGAGTAAAACATATTTTAAAAATGTACTAGGCTTCTCTATCCAGGTAAGAAGATGACATTTTGTTATTGATGTGGGATAGAAAAAGCAAATCAGTTCCATTGAGAGGAAGCTGGGATTGCAATGAAAATTTTATAATGAAGAGCCAAGTAAACTCATACTACTTTATAAGTTATTTATCACTTTTCATTATCTATTATAGCCTGTAAGATATTTTTTATATGAAATCAGGGCTGTGTGTTAAAATTTTAACTATACTGTTGTTTTCTGTTAAAGAATTCAAAGTAACAAGTAAATCCTGCTAAAATTTTATTCAGGTAACAGTGGAGACCCTTACAGTGGGCATAAATGTTTACCTTGTAAGAGTAGAGATTCTTACCAGACCCAAAGGAATCACCATCATCCTCAATTTATAAAATCCTGTGTTGTCTTCAATTGTTAAACAGTAGTTGGAGGGTGCATAATAAACTGGGGGTACTGGAGTTCCAAGACACACTGCACTCATTGCTGTACTTTAAAGTGTGACCTTGAAAGTGTAAATTCTACATATGGCACACACAAAGGGGTCCCATTCATGGCTGGAGCCTTGAGGCATTGCCATCCTAAACAAATAACAAGCAAATATCAAATTAGACCCGTTGTTATTATTGTAAAAGTAAATCTTTACATGTTGCAAAGCAAACAAAGATATGGTTAGTTTGAAAAATCAGTTATGGGCTCTTTTTTACCCATCAGAATTTAATTTATTTTGAAAATATGTATGTGAATAAACTTGGTTCCTGGCTTGCAGACTCTCAGAAAGGTTGTGGATGCATGTGTGTCCACCCATCTCACAGGAATAATTACACTGCTAGTAATTGAAATTTTGTCCAGGCCAATGTAGCAGCAAATTGAGTTTTATTTGAACTCCCAACCCACTTTGGACTTCCAATGTTTTTTTCTCCTCCCAAAATTCATCTCCTTGTTTCAATACAAACTTGGCATCTAGAATTTGAATCTTTTACGTGTGGGACACTTCAAAACACACACACACAGGGTTACCATAGCAACTGATTCCATCAATAGGAAACTGTTTTGCAGAAGAATCCCCAGTGCTGCCCTGACCTGACGCTTGTCCAGCTCACCCTGGAGAAACCACCCCAGTGCAGGGCAGCCCAGCAGCCTTTGGGAAGTGCTGTCCCTGCTCTGCTCTTCTGTAACCTCCCAACTTCCAAAACACTCTTTTTAAAAGAGCTGGAAAATAGATCTGATTTGATCAGATCAGTTTTTCCTTATAGTAGCTATGCTAATGTGTACAGCATTATATGAAATTATTTTGTGAGTTACGTGGGAGGAATCTAATTGGCTATTGACTGCTTAAAGTGCTAATGTTCATCATAATGATTCACATAAAGGTTATCCCTCAGCATATTTATCTAAATTTGCATAGTGACATTAACACCATTGAATTAATTCCCTAATCAGATTAAGAAATTGTTGTTAGCCTGAATGTGAACTGAACCAAAGCAGATTGGTTTTGCAGAACCTAAGCCAATGTTGGACTAACAGATATCTAAATGCAGTTCTCTGATTTCCTGTGCTTTTTATATACATTTTTATTCATCATCAAAACATCAGGTGGGGCAGACAGAGCCCTCGTGTGATGCAGGGCAGCTCTCCCTGTTTGCTAACAGGGCAAACATCAGCATCACTTCACCCCTTGTCCCATGAATCTTAAAAAGGGTCCAAATGGGGTGCACACCTACTTATCCCACACATCGAGGTGACTCAGCCTGCCAGCAGTGGCACACTAATCAGTTAAGACAAATTTTCTCTTTGTTTGTGGCAGAATCAAAGGGAGCTGATGCAATGCTGAATATCCCCAGGATGAAGCACGACAGAACGGAGCTTATTGCAAAATAAACTCTCCGTGGGGCCTCAGCTCTTGCTGCTGGCAATTCAATAACCTGACAGAAGAGAAGCAACAGCCTGGTTGGCCCTCGAGGCCCCTGGGGTGAGGGAGATAAGGAAATGCTTCTCAGTTCAGGGCATTCCTGCTGTCTGTCAGAGCCTGCTTCTCCCCTAGCCCCTGGTGGCAGCAGGAAGCAGCAGGAGGAGCTGGTGCCATCCCCCCCTTGGTGGAACTCCAGCCTTGCTGGTCTGGGGTTTTTTTAATCAGAAAGGGTCAGTGTTTAAGGAGCATTTTGCTTTTGAGCACCGAAGTTGGTCAGCAGGAGGAAAGCACCCCCCATCTTCTTTCTCTTTCTGAGCTCTGCTCTTGCCAGAGAGCAGCAGGGGTTGGCAGAGCCTGGCCCTTGGCAGGGCTGAGAGGAGCCGTGGGACATTTCCCACACCTTGCTGGTCACCAGCTGCAGCACAGGGGATCTGCACTGATGAAAGGGGCAGAATTGACTCCCTTAGCCTGGGTTTACCCTTACCTGCACCAGGGTAATGGGAAGGACCCATGTATCCTTTTCTTTTCACTCTTAAAGAAGCTTGATAACATTTAAAAGTATTTCTCCTCACTATTCTGAGATTGTGGGGATCAACTGACTTCCAGGATTATCTGATGTCTTGTTTTCTTCAGGTAAATCCTGAAAAAATGGTATTTTGAAACCCATCACGATGATCCATCTCTATTGATAATTTTTGTTCCCTTTTTTCCCAGGTTTTGACTATTTTGAGGCCAGTGCCAAAGAAAACATCAACGTGAGGCAGGTGTTTGAGCGTCTCGTGGATATAATCTGTGAGAAGATGTCAGAGAGCATAGAATCAGACAATTCCAGGGGCACTTCTGGAAGGAGCATGAGGCTCACAGACAACCCTCCCCCTTCACAGCAGAACTGCTCGTGCTAGTGAATTTTCACTGTCCTTGCCCCCTGATTAAATTTTATCTTTTCATTTGTGGTGGTGCATTATCACGTAGTCCAGAAGCAGAAGTGTCTGTTGTAGGAAACTGGTATGTTTGTTTAATGTGCTGGAGTGTTAATATTATATATTTCCTCATCCAATAATTTAATAATCTGAAAAAAATATTGTAAGTGCACCTTGTGTGAATGTGAGTTACACTGAAGAATAATAATTGTGTAGTGTTGCAAATGTTATTTCTACAGAGAATGTTGCATTTTTAAATTCTAAATTCCTCTATTGCAGAAAGAGTGTTTTTGTCAAGAACAGCAGGAAGCACAAAAACTAATTAGAGGGGATCAGCTCTAAGAGAAGAAAGGGGGAAATCTCTTATGCTTTTTTTAAAACATAAACAAAAAATCAATCCCCAGATGTTTTGAGAATTGTTGCTGTCCTCCAGACATGGACCTCAGGTTTTCTGTAGGATGGAGCAGAAAGCAGAGCATTGCTGTCTGCCACTATGAGGTCCTCCAGAGTGTGAAGAGGAAGGGGGTTGGATTTTGTGTCAAGCCTCTAAACAGATGAAGAACACAGGCAGGAATCAAAGCTGCCAGGCTGGGGAGGAGGAGGAGGAGGCCTTGCAGCCATCCCTGTACTTCCTTCCCTGTGCTTTGGCTGGTGCTGAGTGAAGGAGTAAGAGCCCTTCCAGGAGCTGCCCTTGACTCCAAACTTCTCCAGCACAGCTTGCAAAGTGCTGGGGGTGTGGCTGTGTTCAGCACATTCCTCTCCCCAGAATCTCTCTGTCCTGCAGCCTTTCCCCTGTATCCTGTAGTTTTATCTCTGCAGGTCTGGATCTCCTCTCATCAGCTGCTTGCAGGATGAAGGGAAAGGGGAGCTGGCTGCTGAATGCTTAGTTGGAGGCAAAAACATAAAAGACATGGAACAGAATGTCTCAGAGAGATAAAAATATCAGAAACCAAAATGTGAGTGTTGGCAGGTATTTGTGCCAATATTATTAGATTATCTTTCTGCATTTTGTTGTTGATTTATTTTTTTTAATCTTGTTCTATATGGGTGTGTGTGGGGGCTAGATTTTCTGGGTTCAGATTCAACCACAAAGTATCATTTAAGGAAAGTAAGAGTGACTAATAAAACACAACTGCAAATGAAACGTGGCAAAGACATCCTGTTATTCTGTCAACTTTTTGTGCATCATGCTTTGAAGGGAGGCAAAATTTTTAAACTGAGTGGATATGGAGAGAAGTTGATTATCTTAAGGGGAAAATTCTGGAAGGTTTTTACCTTTGGTCTGTGATCTCCTCTGAGTGAGGGGACTTCTTGATGGCAGGAACAGGAGTTGAGTGCCTGCCCACTGCCCTGTAATGTGCTGGATCATGACACCAGTGAGTGCTTTTGTAATTCCCTTCTGCTGTGTCTCAAAGTGTAATAGCTCTGAGAAGAAAAGCACAAAATTCTGGACAAAAATGCAACGTTTTTGGAGTGGTTTGAGCTCATTGTGCTAAAGGCTTGATCCCTCTGTCTGTCACTTTTGGGAATCTCTACTGTGACGTGTTCGGGGTGTGTGATCTCGTCCTGAGAGTGTGATTTGTGCAGTGCTGGGACTGTGCTTGTTGTATCTAAACCCCTGAAACTGCAAAATAAAGAGAAATGTACTCACTGGGTGTGGCCAGAGAGCTTGTGTCAGCTGCATTTCTTGCGTTAGGAATCCTACACGTGTGTGGAGAAATCTTTTTAATGCTTTAAAAATCCATCAAACTACATTGATCTTTCTTTGACAGAGTGATGGTCTTTGAACCCAGCAATCTGGAATCACTATGCAGGTTTAGAACAATGAGGAGAAGGTTTATTTGGCCAATAAATGCATAGTGTTGTGTTCTGATTGTAGAAAAAGCAGGTTTTAGGGCAACTTGTTTAACTAGCAATAAAATTTTTAAAAGTCCACATCAGATTTTGAGCTGTGCAGATATAACTTAGTACCTCAGTGCAAATAATGATTTTGGCAGCTCAGCAGCTCCCTGATAAAAGAAAATGGATTCAGCAGAAAGGGAATTTCAGTTATTTTCTTTCACTTACTCTTTTTTCCCCTAGCAAAAAGACCTTTCCCTTTCCTACCCAAAATATAATTGTGTTTTGTTGTGTTCTGGTCAAGTCAGATTCGCTTCTTTAAAGAATACAAACTAGGATGGGCAGATTTGTTTTTCAGAGGACAAACCAGCAAGTAGCTACACAGCAGTCTGAAGAAAAGTTGGGAATTCTACCCTGCCTGATACTGCATACATGGAAAAACCCAATACTTTTTGCAGAAATCCTGCAGAATTTATTTCAAATAACGAATCAAACCATCACAGGCAACTGACACATCTCTGAATTAATATGCATTTTGTGTATCTCACCAGTTTCTGTTTGCTGTGAAGGAATACAGGGAAAGCCTTTTGCCTTAAGTGGCCTGCAGCTGGTTTCAGCACAGCAGTGAGGCAGGAGTTATTGTTACTTGAATTATTAACTTTAAGGGGCACGGCAGAATGTGAGACACTGATTGGTCAGGGCACGGGAAATAAACCTGCTTGCACTGAAGGCAAACTCGAAATTTGCGATGTGGGCTTGCAGAGAGCCTTGCAGGATAGTTGTGTTACTAAAGCAGCCTGGTTACAAGGTAAAAAAGGGGCACTAGGGTGTGAAAATAAAAGAGGCGACAGCTCCTCACGAGCAGCTCTCCACGGCTTGTACAAAACAGCACCGAGCGTGCCAAAGCCAAAGCTCAGCAAAAGCCATCGGGAAACGCTGGGGCTGGCGATGGTCTCGGCTTCCATCTGGTGGAGAACGAAAGCGCCGAGTGTCAGGCGGCGCCCGGGCTCAACCAGCCAGGCTGAACGATCCTCAGGCTCGGCCTCTCGCCTTTCAGCACCTCCCCTGCGGCCAAGGCGGCCGGGGACTGCGGGCAGCGGAGCGGGACAGCCGCGGGCGGTGCGGACGGGCTGCGCTAGCCGCAGCATCCCGGTGCCCCGCCGGGAAGCGCCGCAACCCAGAGGCAGAGCAGCGCTGCCGCTCCATCGGCACTGCAGGGGGATGGGAGAAAAGGAGACCCAGGAAGCGGAATGTGCAGAGAGCTGCCGAAGGGGCCAGGCGAAGGACAAAGAGCGGTTTCTGTCAGCAGCCGTGGGTGCAGCCTTTGCGCCGCTCGGGCCACGCCGCGTTCCGCCATCCCGGGAACCACGGAACCCGCCATGCTGCCGACAGCCGGCCCGAGAGCTGATTGATCCTTGCAGGCTTGAGCGACAGCCAGCCTGACCAATCGGTGAAGAAGCTGACGGCAGGAGGCTGGTTTCCGCCAGCTGGCTGTTGGACTATTCCAAAGCGAGAGTAGGGGAGCACAGCTTAGGCGGCGGGCGGACATACTCATGGAAATTTGGCGGCGCACAGAGCAGTCCCCGAAACCTGGATCCGCTCTTCCGCCTTTTCCTCACCCCTCTCATTTCTCTGCCCACTCCCCCCGATTCTTGAAAGCAGCCACATCCCCCCCTCCACTCCCCCATCTATGGTTTCCCCCACCCGCTCACGCCGGCAGCCTTGTCTCCACCAATGGGAGCGCCGTGTAGCTATGCGCATGCGCAGTCTCGCGGCCGCCCTCGCTCGGAGCGGGCGGGCGGCGGCGGCCGGGGGTCCCCGCGGGCGGGCCGTGGCCGGGGGCTGGCGGCCGGGACGGGCCGTTGTCCGGCCGCTGTGGAGCGGCGGCACCGCTGCCATGCCCGGCAGGAACAAGGCGACGTGCGGCTACGGCAGCCCGGAGCTTGCGGTGGGGCAGCAGGCCGCGGAGGGGGGCCGCGACGCCGGGGGCCGCTCGCCTCACGGGGACGAGGAGGAAGAGCGCGGGGGGGCCGGTCCCGAACACAACCTCGGTGACCCCGACATCGTCAAGTCCCCCAGCGACCCCAAGCAGTACCGGTGAGGGCGGGTGCCGGAGGATGAGCTGCCGCCGGGGCAGCCCGGCCGGTCGGTGGGGCGGGCCGGGCTCTGCCCGGGGGCCCCGGGGAAGGGGCTGGGGCTGGTGCCGGTGCCCGGGGCAGCTGGGTCCTGTCTGTGATGAAAGGAGGCTGGCGCTCCCGCGGGTGGTGCTGAGGGTGGGCTGCCCGGGGTGTGTGCGGGCAGGATCGGCCCTTGTGCCCGGCCGGTCGGGGCTGGGTGTTCTCCAGGCACAGCAATGCCCAATTCAGCGCCGGCCCGGCAGCTCCTCTCCGAAAGCGTTCAGTGCAAAGTGCGCTTTAAGTATTTCAGAGCAGATCCCAACTTCAAAACTGCTACTCTTTGTGTTTTAGATGAGCTTCTAAGTTTTAAGGCAAATATATCTGTGAGTTGAGGCAAAGTGCTTTTAGGCTGCCTTTTTGCTTGTGGTTTTATTTCAATATTTCTGAGTAATACCCCGAAAAGTGATGAAAAAGGTCAACTTCCCTGAGCACAGCCTGCAGTGTCTGTGGCCCAGACCCAGCGAGAGACTCAGATGAGAACTCCAGCAGAGGTTGAGCTTGTTGGATGCTGTAAGGCAGTCTGCTCTTGAAAGGACACTCTGATAACTTCTTCCTGTAAGACAGAAGATTATCCAGCCCTTGTTAGAGCTGCTTTTTAAAAATTTATCTGTACTTTTCATGATGTCTAATCTGTGCAGCCAGTGGAGAATCTGCTGCCTGAGCCTGGAGCTGAAGTTTGGATTTGCAGTGGCATTGGCTGACAGTGAGATTCCCTGCTGGCTGCCTGAAGAGGACTGTGCCCATTGGCTCAGGGAAACTTGCTCCCTCCCTTCTTGCCCTACTTCCTTGCTGCTTCCTCTGGATCTCTGCCTGCCTCTCCTGATAGCATTCTTAGTCATGCTACTTTGTGGCACGCTTGTCCTCCTGCTCTCAGCTGCTGATGCTGTCAGGTTAAGAAACTCCTGCCTTTGCTGCCTGATGCAGCACACTGGTGCTGATGGTGAAGTCCATTGAAGGCTGTCACTCTCTATTTTGAGTCTCAGGAACCTCCTCTGTGTGTGAGAATTGGAGAGAGTGTTTGCTCATAGCATAAACTAATATCAAAATCTTGCAGAAATCCTGCTGCCCATTCTTAAAAGAATTTTTCAGCTGGAAGCACAGAGTTGCATCCTTTCAGACTGATTTCCATGTGTGTGAAGTGAGCCTGACAGAGCACAGACATTGTCCTTACGGAAGAGAAGTTCAGTGTGTCTGGAAGCAAAGCCACACTGAACCTGTGTCCAGGTGTGGTGTCCCAAACCTCCAAGGGAGTGTCCTGGCAGGTGATGTGGTGATGCTGACACATTTTCCCCTGTTCACACTTCAGTGATGTGTGCTGCAGCCCAGTCACAGTGGGATTAGTGTGTGTGTCTGGTGACATCAGTCTTAATGGAAAATGTCTTATTTTGCCTTCCCAAATTCACACAACCAAAGGAGCTCTGATGCAGATATCAGGATGTATTTTCAAAAGTGGGTTTGTTGGGACAAAATATTTGTCATGCTAAAAGTTTGCTCATTACAGCTGTAACAGTGTAGTTATTTTTACAAAAAATGTA